GGACGGAATTCGCTCTCAAGTCATGTACTTCCTTCGATTTGAGGCAACACTTGACTTTCCCCCTCGACCGCAAACGCGCACGAAAAACGAATTTGATGCTAACCAGTTCGACGTACCGACTTGGCTGGACGGCACGATGAGCGGGTCGAGCTCGCACGGACTCATGGCAGCGCCCTGGCGCAACATGGCGGTCGCCAAGGCCGGCGACTCGACGAGCATTGAGCAGGCGTTTCTGCGCTGTCGCTGCTGCTGGTGCTGCTGCTGGTGCTGGCCGATAGTGCTTCGTCTCCGAGGCTCCTCCACGTCCTGCCATTGCGTGACCAGCTGCAGACGACTGTCGTCCTGACTGCCAGGACGCGTCACCGCCATCAGCATCACTCCGGACGCACGATTCGACGACGTCATCGACGTCGTCGCCGTCGCTGACGTCATCGGCATCGCTCCGGACGCCCGATTCGACGACGCCATCGCCGTCGTCGTCGTCGCCGTCGCTGACGTCATCAGCACCGCTCCGGACGCCCGATTCTGGGGCGCCGTCGGCGGAGTCTGGTTGTCGGCGGAGAGAAGGCGCGCCGAGGGCAGCAAGAGGAAGGGCGAGACGAGTCCGTCTGAGCCGGGCAACGACAAACCGGCCGAAGGCGAGACTCGGGTCTGGCCCGCGGCCGGTGCTAGGACTGACTCACCGACGAGGAGTCGTTGGCCGAGGTCGGCTGTGTCGGTCTGTCGCGAGGGGAGAGGGAGAAAAGGAGGAGAGGATAGTTGCCCGGCAGAGGGTGAACTGGCAGACGTTTGGCGCCTCTCGTTCGAGGGCGAACGTGGCTGCCGGGTCTCGGAGACGGCGCGACTGGTGGCCGTCCGTAGACCCTGTCCTTCGGAGGTCGGCAGTGAAGGAAGCCGAAGTCGTCAGTTCGCCACGAAAAGGCCTCAACACAACTTCACACAAGCCCGTTTCATTCGTGCCCACCGCACAGCCTCAGAGTTGGACGCCGACACACAACAAAATGACAGAATATATGAAGACCAAGATGTTGTGGTCGCAGTCTCCTTTCGATTGACAGAAGTGGGTTGACCTCGTTGTCGCAACTTGGTCTTGTTGTCAGGGCGACCATGTAGAATGCACCTAGTCCGAAGTCGTCTGCCATAGTATTTGTCATGATTCCCAGCATCAAACAGTGGATTTGGTACATTCTCAGACGTTTCGCCGGCATCATCAGTGAGTTTTGCCATTCGCCGCACCAAGCTACGAACTCGTCAAAGAGACAA